CTCCAGACTTCACAAGAAACTGGAGCAAATCCTGATCCACCTCCAAAGCCTCCACCTCCTCATTTTAGGGCTCCTTGGTGCACTTGGCACATTCCAGACTCTCTCCATTTCCGGAGGAGCAAGTCTCCTTTTTCCCTAGATCCAACAGCCAGTGCAACATTGGCTTAGGCTGCAAGCTTTCATATTTCTGTGGCAGAACCTAGCTGTGGTACTGGTTCCGAAGCTGGAACATTTTCTGGGACCTTCTCTATTCCATTCATCATGCCCAAGATTCATGGCACTTTGAGACTGTTCCTAGATCAACAATGTCATCGGATGATGAGGGGGAAGATTGGCACGGAGAACCCTCAACTCTTAGTAGAGGCCCTCTGGGCAGGGGACCTCTTGGCCTCTGTACATCTGCATGAGGCATGTCCGCAGGTTCCTTTTCATCCAAGGCCCAGACACTGCCTTTGTTCGCATATGGTCACCAATGCCTTTATTACAGAGCCCCTCTCTGTTTCAGCTCTCCCCACAACCCGAGTCTTCACCCAGTTGGTGGTCTCAGCAGTGGCCCTCCCAGGTCATGAAGTGATGATGTGATCTCCAGGCCGCCATGCAGATCAGAGGACCTCTGAGGCATCCATTCGCCCTACAGGCAGGTCCTGATTTCACCAGAAAGCCACCCTCACCCTTCCTTATGTATCTGGGGATGTTGATCGGCTCTGCTTGATCCTCCATTGCCCCCCCCCTCCAGAAAGGAAAAAAAAGGTTGGACTTAGCTGTAATTGTTGTTTGTCAAGTTGTCTTCTGTGCAGGCACGCATCTGAGACTGCACAGGCCACCTGGAGAGAAAGTTTTAGCTTCTTAGAGCTGTAAAGGGAGGGTGCTCCCCCCCCCCCCCCCCCCGCATACGCAGCAGTATTTTCCCACCCGAACCAACACAGGCGGTGAGGGACGAGCACCGTTTTCCCTTGGTTTTCCTGAACCACAGAACTAAATTAAAACAGAACTCACAGCAGGGCAGGAGGCAGGGAATGTGTGTCTGCATGGAAGACAACTCGACAAACAACAGTTACGAGTAAATGCAACCCTGTTTTCATCTTCAATCTTTTGTGCAGTCCCACATTTGAGATGTCACAAGCAGCTTACCAATGGAGGTGGGATGAGTTGCGACTATGGAAGGGATGTCATCTAGTCAACCGAAGAACACAAGACTGCTTTTCCCCACAGCTGAATCCTGAATGTTGTCAATGCCCACGGCGTAGTGCTTGACAAATGTGTTGGCCTAGGACCATGTTGGCATTCTGCAGATGTCATCGATCCGAACACCACGGAGGAAGGCTGCTGATGAGGCGAAAGCCCTGATAGAGTGAGTTTGCATGTGGAGGGGACAGGCATGCAGACAACAGCTAGAGGGTCTGAACAATACTTTGCAAAATCAGCTGAGAGAACACAGTGGTGCCCTTATGAGGACCCACAGGACAAATAAACAGCAAGTGTTCCTTGCAAAAACATTTGGTACGATGTAAATAGCACCATAAAGCCCATTCAAGGTCCATTGTGTTAAGTGCTTTTTCACTTGGTGAAGAGAGGTTTGGGGGAAAGGCAGGCAGCGAGATCACCTGAGAAAGGTGAAACTAGGAGACAATCTTGGGCCCCCCCCAAAAAAATGGAGACTGGGTTTGAGAACAGCCCCTACCTCAAGAAAATTGGATGTGTGGAAGCTCAATTCCAAGGGCAGCCAACTCCCCCCCCCCCCCCACCCCCCCCGAAACGTACCTTGAGGGATAAAAGGGGAGGGGACATGTGGCTGAAGGTTCAAACAGAGGCAGCATCAACCTAGACAGTACAAGAGAGAGGCTCCGCTGAGGAACTGGAGGAGTTACAGAGGGATAGGAGGTTAGACAACCCTTTCAAAAATTGTTTGGCAGTGAAATATGAGAAAACCACGATGCCCTCTATGAAATCATGGCAGGCAGAGACTGCAGCAAGGTGTACCTTAACAGGTAAGGAGTGAGGCGTGACATCTTTAGGTGTAACAGTCAAAAATTAAAGGTAAGCAACAAGGTGCAGCTTTATGGCCAGTGAGAGAGCCACCGGATGAACCTCTGCCATTTATAGGCAAAGAGCTTACGGGTAGAATCCCTGCGGGAATGCAAGAGAACGTTCAGACCCCTTGATGAGAAAGTCACGTGAGAGGGGGCAGAAGCCACATGGCAAGCTGTTCGTTTCTGCACACTCTGACATCACAATGAGCCTGTGTGTCGAAGAGAGAAAGATGATGGAAGCAACTCCAGGACAAGGACAGCTGGACGGAGAACCACAGCTGATGTGGCCAGGAAGGTTTTTCCTGAGCCATCTTGGTGAGAACCCTTCCCAGAAGAGGCATCAGTAGAGAAGGCACAGATGAAGGCTCCTCCCCAGTGGATTTGGAAGGCATCGCTCAGAGATGCGGGGTCATGGCCAGCTTTGGAACAGAACAGAAGGGCTAACATGCTCCGCCTGGTGGCAAATAGGTCTGTGTCTGGGAAACCCCACGCCTGGAATATAGGAAGGATGTCGTGATTGGCAGTAGGCCATTCATGGTAAGGTAGAGAGGCCCTGCTCAGGAAATGAGCTTGTTTATTGTCTGCTCCTGCAATACCGATACCTGGAATGTGAACACCGTGACCTATTGCCCAGGTCCATATCCTGGAAGCTTCCATGCACAGTGGGATGGAAGCCATGCTGCCCTGTTTTTTTCAGATAGAACATTGCAGTGGTGTTCTCTGTTTGGATTTGTACGATTTTGTCCCATAGTATATCTGTAAAAGAAGCAAGAGCAAGGCAGATTCCTCTAAGTTCCAAGATATTAATATGCAGTTTCAATTCATGAGTGGACCAAGTACCTTGAATCAATGAGCCTCCACAGTGGGAGAGGCATCAGTGGTTGGGGAAACTGGGGGAAGTCTGAACCCAAATGGAATCCCCCATATTAGATTAGTGTTATCCAACTACCAGAGTAGAGATTGACCAACATACCTGGGTACTGACAATTTGTTACTCTGAGAGTGCCTCTAGGACTGGCATGTCCATCCGTAAGAACCAGTTTTGCAAAGGCTGTAACCTAAGTCTAGCAGTTGTGGAGGCCGTCAAACCTAAAGTGTACTGCCTTTCTGAGGTCCAAAGGGTGGACAATATTCCCCTACTGGATGATTGGCTCATAGCAGCTGGCTCACCCAACTTATTGCAATATCACCTATCATTAGTTGGGTCCACATTGGGAGTTTGGGTAGCCAAGAACTACTTAACAGACATTGATCTGATGGCACCCCAGCCTATTGCATAGCAGAGAAGATGTAAAGAAAGCAGACCTCCATCAAGCCTGAAGACTTTCCCTCTTGCTGTATGACCAAATGAGTTGTGATTGATCGCTAAGCTGTGATATTACCTTTCACATGGTGCCTGTTCTAAAGAATCTGAGGCAACAGCAGCGCTACAAGTCTGATACGAATAAGGAGGATTGGAAAAAGTCACTGTAACAACATTGTGTACACTTCTTTTCAGTACATTAACTTCATGTGCTTGGGGAACAATGGTTGACTCTAGTGGCAGCCTAGCACCATGTTATATTTTGTCAAAAGCTAGTTTATTTAAACCATGTTAACTTTCACAGATGAAATTAACTTACGTACAAACAGATGAAATAAAGACATGCCAGTGGAAAAAAAAAATTAGTTGGGTCCACATTCTCTAAACTGGGGTTAGCAATTAACTGGGAGAAGTCCAGATTTTCTCCATCCCAACAAACGGAGTGTTTTGGGGCTGCATTAGACTCTAAAGTGGGTCACGCCTTCCTTTCCTTTCAAAGATTCCTAACTGTTCAGGCTTTAGTACTCAAATTCTGCAAGCAACATTTTCAGTTGTTAGGCTTGCTGCTGCTCCTTAGGCAGTTGTGGATGAGACTGCTTCTGCCTGGGCCTGGCAGCCTGATGCATCCCTTGTGGTGGTTGCTGAACGGGGTGGGACAGAGGGTAAAATGGCGGGAGCTCCTAGAGTACCTGGTGTGTCCAGGCTGAAACTGGTGAAGAGTTTGAGAGTGCGGCTTGCAAGGCAGGGTAGCGTAAGTAGTGGTGCCCAAAGACTGAGCTGTTTGCTTGTTTTGCTTGATTTGTGCCAAAGTGTCCTTGGTTTTGGATTAGAAGACAGAATTGCCTTCAAAAAGTAAGTCCTCTATCTTGGTTCTTGTTTCCGGAGGAAGAGCTGTGGTTTTTAGCCATGCAAAGTGATGCAAGGTGACGTGTCTGTAGCATGCCCCTCCCTGCATTTGCTTGTTGTTTGGACAGCTTGGTCACCTCCGCCTTGGGCTCAAAGATACCTATCCTCATCTAACAAATCAGTGTATGCTGTCATGCCTGGTAAAAGTTCACGTAAGAGAGCCATATAGACAATCAAAATTTTGTTTTAACAGGCTCACAATCTGTCTGGCCCACATACATACTCTGAAATGCTAGCAACTCTGCTACTGATTTTTGTGAAGAAAGAAATAACAGCTTAACATGTTCCAGTATTGGTCTTTTGTGCAGGCGATTAACGGAAGTCCAGCACTGGAAAATGTTTTGTTTTGCAGGCATTAATGATGCTGGCACGTACAGGTGACCCACTGCCAATTTTCCAAGTTTTGGGAACTCTTTACATTGTTACAGCTATATAGAAGTGTAAATGAATCCTTCATGATCTTTAAATATTCTACATCTTTCCCCAGAGTGCTGGGAGGGGTGGAACAGGGTGAGGGTGAGGCAGGAGAAGGGCTCTGGGAGGTGGGAGGGCAAAGTGCCCTGAGTGGCCAGAAAAGACCAGGCCAGGAGCTCCGTACTGCTGCAGACTGTTAACTGATGTGCGATTCCTGTGTTAAGTGTTGGGATGTGTGTGTGTGAAATGGGTGCAATGTAGAAGTATGTCCCACTTCATATGGTTTGAGACCTCCAACTGTAATGCTTTGTTAATCTTGGCACATCTGTGTCTTTCTAATCATGCAGTGCTCAGTGGAAGAGTTAATATCCGTGACTGGAGAGAAGCGAAGCTGTCAAGCAAAAAGAAGCCAGGCATGCAGGCTGAGCCAGGAGTTTCTTCGAAAGCCACAAAAACTCGCCTGTGTTGGTTTGACATGCACCATCCTCATGGCTGTCCTTTGACCTCTGAACACTGTTCTTATGCTCATGGCATTGAGGACCTGAGGCCGCACCAGCAGGTGCCAAAGAAACGTCATGCCAAGCACGAAGGAGCTGCTGGCACAGGTGGAGGAGGTGGTCCAGTGGACTTTGGGTCCCATAAACAGCGCCGTACTTCATGTGGTGACACCTCTCTAAATCCTCTTTATGCAAGAGAATGAAGGGGGGTTTTTTGTGGAAGAGAAGATTTTGCAAGTTCCATGGTTGACTTATTGCCCTGACAATGCTGATTTTTATTTGTACATTAAAATCCAAATTTTATCTGCAGTTGTGTTCTCAAAATAGTTTCGGGAGTATTTTTTCCCTTTCGTTTTGATGAACGTGCAAATCCATGTTTATGCTGAGGAAAAATCTTGCAGTAAAAATGTGGTCTCTGTTGCCCCAGAAGGTCAGGCCAGAACCAATGGACTGAAATTACATCAGACATTAGGAAGAACTTCCTGATAGTTGGAGTAATTCCTTAGTGGAACAGGCTTCCTCAGGAAGTGGTGGGCTCCCTTCTTTGGAGGTTTTTAAGCAGATGGCCATCTGACAGTAGTGCTGATCCTGTGAATTAAGGCAGATTGTGAGAGGGAGGGTGGGAAACGATGAGTAGCCTCACAGTACCTTGGAGCCTTCCTCAGCCCCGGATGCATCCCCTTCAGAGCACCCTAGGGGCAGAGACTTTTCTCTTTTCTCAGACCGACATCAAACATACTCAAGAACAGATATGTGCTGGATTTCAAAAAGTTTGACAACGAATCTAAAAAAAGTAGAGATTCAGCTGAATTCATTTGCAGATCATAATCCCATATAAGGAGTTTTGCAATAGAATAGAAAATCTGGGAAAAGATGGAGATTAAACAATGCTGTTTTATTGCATGAAGATACGGTAAATAAGTGTTTTAAAAGATCTGTAATAATTTTTCAAAATAAATAATACTGAAGGAATGTCCTCAGCCACAATTTGGGAAGCAAGTAAACCATTTAGCAGAGGAATTCTTCTAGCAGCTGCCACAAAAAAAGCAAGAAAGATTAGAACAAACTAAGAGAATAGAAAAAATTCAGAGATTGGAACAAGAGCATAAAAACAATCTTAACCAAAAAGGTTAGCAGAAAAACAGTCTTAGCAAAAAAAAAAAGTTAGTGGAAGAGGTGTAGAAAAAAAACACAAAATTTCTAAAACAGAGGCATTTTGAACATGCAAATAAACCTGGCAAATGTTTGGCATATTGTCTCAGGAAGGAGAGAGAAAAAAGAGTAATAACAGGTATAAAGACAGGAGATCAAATTACTGTCAGCAAGCTGCCAAATGTTTATTCCTGTCCATGTAATCATCTCTCCATTTCCCCCCCCCCTCCGTAGATGCGCTCAGGTCGTCATGTGCACAGCTCCCCTATTGCTCTGCATTCCTTTCAGTATACGCCAGTAACGTTATCTAGCCAAGGCCACAGGTGGAAGAGCAAACGAGCTTTGCTTTGTCTGTAATTAGTAGAGACTGTGTGAATCGCATAATTATTTAGAATTGAGTAGCCGTTGCTTTCCCAAGCTTTAGACGCGCAAGAAACCCTTTGGCCGTGCGCGGGAACCACGTTTATTGGCTGTAATGATTATGAACTTGCTTTAACCTTTCTAGCTCACTGAGTTATCGTTATTCTGAACAGTGCCCCCGTTCAAGTGCTCCATGGCTTCAATAAAGTAAAACTTTCTTGTAAGTGTATACTACGTTGTTTGCTGTGGGACCTGACAATTACATATACAGAAAAAGGAATACAAGAACAATTTATCAGTGTTCTTTCAGGATTATACAAAGCAAAGTCTGTTTCAGAAGAAGGAATAAAAGAATATTAAAAGAAAAACAGACATAGAACACAGAGGGAATGCGTATTAAATTTGCAGATGATACTCAATTGGGAGGGGCAGCAAATATGGTAGAAGACAGAGTCAGGATACAGGATGATCTTGACAGGCTGGAAAACTGGGCTAAAACGAATAAAATGAATTTCAATGGGGATAAATGTAAAGTTCTGCATTTAGGTAGGAAAAACCAAATGCATAATTATAGGTTGGGGGAGACTTGTCTTGGCGGTAATGTGTGTGAAAAAGATCCCAGGGTCTTAGTAGACCATACCCTAAACATGAATCAGTATAATGCAGTAGGCTAAAAAGGCAAAGAAATGCTATTTTGGGCTCTATCAACAGACGTATAATGTCCAGACAGAGGTCATTTCGGGGGGGGACACAGTTCCCCCGGGTGAGGTGCAGGGGGCGGGGCACATGACGAAGCCCCGCCCCCTG